TTATCGAGGCAGAAAATATACCCTAACAGGGCCCCAGTCACATGTCAGTTGCGCACTTCTGGGGACTATATCGGCACCGCCAAATTGCGAACTTCCGAGGACTATACCGCCACGAGTATCCCCCACGATACTAGATGGCTAGGACTCACGAGCAAATAAAATGAAGGCAGCTGCAGGAAATGTGGTAGCTGCTGCTCGTGAGTCCAAGCCATCTAGTTTAGCCCCAATCCACGCCGCCTAAGCGGCGTGTGGGACACTCTTGGTAGTGGCGGAAGTTGCCAGAAGTGCGCAATTTAAGTCGCCGGAAGTGGGCAATTGACATGTGACTGAGGCCCTGTTAGAGTATATTTTCTGCCTCAATAATTTAGGACCGCTATTCGGAAGATAGCCCAAGTGACTGACCTGATTACAGGGAAGTTGAAACCTCAACTAAGAGCACTAAACTCCTATAAAATACTGTATGCCGGATCTAATTAGTAGTTCACTAATTCTGTAGTTTGTTGGTAGCTACTGAACTGTCACTGTCAGTCTGGTAACACCATACATCTAAATGCCTGCTTGTGGTTTGCTATTGTAGGCAGACAACATTACTATGCCCAACCCCATTTTCTCAATTAGGAAAAAAAGCTGTTGCATTAGCATGTCCCATTTTTTTTTAAAGAATAGGTTTAATAACAAATTTTAAAATTAGCCACCCACACACATACCACACAAACATTGTTGCCTGATGAAAAAGTATCATTGTTGACTGCTGCTAACCCAAGTGTTTCCATTATGAAGCTAAATGTTGTTTCTGTGAACATTTAAACAGTGTTTGGGGTATGTTTATGATTATCTATCTCTGAAAAGCTGCGTCTGTGGCTTAGGCGTTGCAAGTCTGAGTCCTAATTCCAACATACCGCGATCGAAACCCATTGCTAGCTGAGTGGATTTTTATCATGGTATGGGGCATCACAGGTCGACCCAACCTTAAATGGGTACCAGGATGTAATGTATGTCCTGGGAAAGTAAAGATGGCCGGCGTAATGCTGACCACATTACCCACCTAGTGCCGATTGGTCTGTAAAAATATGGGTGCTCTTCCCATATGCCCTATGGACCTAAGGCGTAAAAAGGGATCTTTACTTTTACTTTACTATTACTTTTACTTTACTATTACTTTTACTTTACTATCTCTGAAAATAATTAGTATTGCATTTGTTGATGAGGAAATGGAAAGGCAGAGCTTACGAAGGCTACAGGAAACCTCATGCAGCCCCATCTGTCTCAGAGTTTTAAAAACACTGAAGTCAGTCTTAAAACAATCTGTGAGGTTGAACCGAAGAGAAGACTACACAGATTACAGATGAAAGCAGAAGATATATTTTATACCCCACTAGGACATCACACAAGCGATAAACACCTGATGACACAAAGTTCCACTATGCGGATGAGGATCACCCATGGAGAGGTCCCAGAAACCGTGTTCAGCATTAGGCCATATTTATGGCCGGGCTATATTGCGGCCCCTGGTAAGAGCCAGGATAGGGCTTCAAAATAACAAAAAATTGCATCCCACAGGGGGATGAAACAACATTCCAACAATCGAAGATGAAAGCACATTGTAAGGCATGGAAATAAAAACGATACAAAACAAAACTGCTATTAATTTGTTTATTACAGAAGGTGTATTTCAAGGCAAATAGAAAATAGACCAGAGAACCTGGTGACAGCTAGCAAAGCTGATAGAGGACAGAGGGAAAGTAAAGATTTACATTCTTGATAGCTTGGCTACATGCATGGGGTGGGACAAAGAGTTACATTCTTGATGGCTTGGCTACATGCATGGGGTGGGACAAAGAGTTACATTCTTGATGGCTTGGCTACATGCATGGGGCGGGACACAGAGTTACATTCTTGATGGCTTGGCTACATGCATGGGGTGGGACAAAGAGTTACATTCTTGATGGCTTGGCTACATGCATGGGGTGGGACACAAAGTTACATTCTTGATCGCTTGGCTACATGCATGGGGTGGGACGAAAAGTTACATTCTTGATGGCTGGGCTACATGCATGGGGTGGGACAAAGAGTTACATTCTTGATGGCTTAGCTACATGTATGGGGTGGGACACAGAGTTACATTCTTGATGGCTCACCTACATGCATGGGGTGGGACAAAGAGTTACATTCTTGATGGCTTGGCTACATGCATGGGGTGGGATGAAAAGTTACATTCTTGATGGCTTGGCTACATGCATGGGGTGGGACAAAGAGTTACATTCTTGAAGGCTTGGCTACATGCATGGGGTGGGATGAAAAGTTACAATCTTGATGGCTTGGCTACATGCATGGGGTGGGATGAAAAGTTACAATCTTGATGGCTTGGCTACATGCATGGGGTGGGACGAAAAGTTACATTCTTGATGGCTTGGCTACATGCATGGGGTGGGACAAAGAGTTACATTCTTGATGGCTGGGCTACATGCATGGGGTGGGACAAAGAGTTACATTCTTGATGGCTTCGCTACATGCATGGGGTGGGACAAAGAGTTACATTCTTGATGGCTTGGCTACATGCATGGGGTGGGATGAAAAGTTACAATCTTGATGGCTTGGCTACATGCATGGGGTGGGACGAAAAGTTACATTCTTGATGGCTTGGCTACATGCATGGGGTGGGACAAAGAGTTACATTCTTGATGGCTGGGCTACATGCATGGGGTGGGACAAAGAGTTACATTCTTGATGGCTTCGCTACATGCATGGGGTGGGACAAAGAGTTACATTCTTGATGGCTTGGCTACATGCATGGGGTGGGATGAAAAGTTACAATCTTGATGGCTTTGCTACATGCATGGGGTGGGACAAAGAGTTACATTCTTGATGGCTTGGCTACATGCATGGGGTGGGACAAAGAGTTACATTCTTGATGGCTTGGCTACATGCATGGGGTGGGACAAAGAGTTACATTCTTGATGGCTTCGCTACATGCATGGGGTGGGACAAAGAGTTACATTCTTGATGGCTTGGCTACATGCATGGGGTGGGATGAAAAGTTACAATCTTGATGGCTTGGCTACATGTATGGGGTGGGACACAGAGTTACATTCTTGATGGCTTGGCTACTTGCATGGGGTGGGACAAAGAGTTACATTCTTGATGGCTGGGCTACATGCATGGAGTGGGACAAAGAGTTACATTCTTGATGGCTTGGCTACATGCATGGGGTGGGACAAAGAGTTACATTCTTGATGGCTTGGCTACATGCATGGGGTGGGACAAAGAGTTAATTCTTGATGGCTTGGCTACATGCATGGGGTGGGACAAAGAGTTACATTCTTGATGGCTCGGCTACATGCATGGGGTGGGACGAAAAGTTACATTCTTGATGGCTCAGCTACATGCATGGGGTGGGACAAGACCACCACCTGATCCAGGATTCTGCTGTTCATGTAGAATGGAAGATGATGACTGCAAATGCTTTTTAGTATGACACATGGCAATAGTGGTATTTCCAGTGAGAGAATGTGCTGTGCATTTTTTTTTTACTTAATGGGTTGGCGGACCAAACATTTTTTAGGAAACACTTGTCGAGAATTTCCCATACCTGATTAGAATACAGCCAGTTAGGGCATGCTTGGTGTAGTTAACATCATATGGAGTGGTTGGTTTGAGTACTCATCCTCATCGAGTGCCTTGCCAACTGGTGTGGGCGATCATGCCTCTTCCTAATCTGCAGCTGCGTGCATCAGTTCGTGTGTTGACACCCCTCCATGGCATGACAAAAGGCCGTCAAAAATCTTCTCGCACTGTCTTCCTCTGTCTCTGTCCACAGATCTTTCCAGTGGTTACATGTTCCATTTTCCCTCTTCTCATAACATGACCAAAAGAAATGACTTTCTCTTTCTGATGTTTGTGATATGTTGTCTTTGAATACTTTATTTTTTCAAAACATCTGGGTTGTTCTTAGCTGTCCAAGGAATTCTAAGGATTTTTCTGTAAAACCAAATCTTTGAGGCTTCAAGAAATGTGTCACCTTGTTTATTAATTGTCCAGCTGGAGTTCTGGATAAGAATATTTTGTACATTATTATTTGTTCCTGTGTGTACATAATATTTAAATGCTGAACTCTAGTTACTTCAGCATCCTTCCCTCTTTGTGTTCTTTTCTCCTGATTGTTGTTTTCTGATAAAGTTGTTGTTGCAGTGTACTTTGATTGTTTATTATAAGTGTCTTTGGGAAAGCTGACTTGCACAGTAAAACTTTATTAACTTGAAATCGCTTAAGAAGAACACTGGATTCAGATGAACAGTTTTGGTTCCAGCAAGAATGTATCATTATTACTATTTTCAGACCTGGTTAGCACATGTTTTTTAAACAAAGACTCAGTTTTCAGTCACTTTGAATTCCTGATAACAAGATTTTACTGTATGTTGTCATTGTTTTTCCTGTACTGTTTGTTTTTATTTCCCTCAGTAAAAAATATTTTTTTTAAATATTCAAAATACTCTAAAATAACTAATCATTGTATGGCGAGAGGCTTCTTGCTTGGTATATTGGTGAACCATCAAAAGTTTCAACTGGTTCTGAGTATGTCACAGTTCAGATGAAGCCATTGTGTTCTCATGGAGATGTTTGTGACATAATCTTTGACTGGTAACACTGATGGGTGAGCAGGATGTTGTGTGCACATTTGCTGGCAGCAGAGAGCACTGGAGTTGTAGGCAAAGACAACATTGCTTGGGGAGGGTCCCTTTGACCTTTTGAAAGAATTGGGGGATGAGGGCTCAAGGATCCTGATTCCCCTCCTTCCCATACTCGTTCCTAAGTTTTAAAAGGGGTTAAGGTTCCCACTTTCCATCCAACGTGCTCTTTGCGTCGTTGGGCCTGACTGGAGTACTGATTATTACTGTTTTCCTCATGACAGCACTAAGAGGAAGTCTGGATATAATTGAATGATGACAGCAATATTTGCTTGTGATGTTAATTCTAGTTACTTTTTCTTCCACAGTCACAGAATGAACTGCTTCAGGATATTGTTGTACCTCTTTAATATTCTGTTTATTGTAAGTATATATATTTTAATTTAAATATATTTTTTGTAACTGTGCACTTTTATTGCAACTATACACTTTATTGTAACTGTACACTTTTAGATGTGTATATCTAGGAAGGCTAACCCCGGCAAAACAATTGTTTGCAGAAGTGGGATGTGTCAGTCGAAAAGAACAGATATTGCGCTCATGTTGTAAACTGGCACAGCACATTTACATCTTCGTATGAATGTAGAAGAAGTTGTGCATGTGCTGTTTGTTAGTCAGTCAGTCTGTCAGTAGTGTGACCTTTGCAGAACCTTGCCCCCATCATAACAACCCTCCAGAAAACTTCTCGATCACAAGCAAGATGTCCCATGTCCGATGCACCAGTCTGGAGATCATCCGTCACATCCTGAAACCAACTTCTCTTTGGCCTTCCTCTTCCTCTCTTTCCAGGCATATACCCCTCCATTATTGTTCTCTCTAAACTTTTGTGACATTTCAAGTGACCAACATATTTCAATTTTCTTTGTTTTATCATCTTTAATAGCCAGCCTTCTTCAGTTTTTAGTTCTTAAAGTATGGATGCATAAAATTTTTTTATTTTTTAACCCTTGATATTCTTAGAACCCATCTATAATATTTGTATTCAAAGTCATTTATGGTCTGTTCAGCTTGTTTAGTAAGTGTCCAGGTCTCACAGGCGTATCTTGCAATGGGAAAGATGCATGCTCTTAGAAATATCTAATTTTTGAAGTTCTGGTTGTCCCACTCCATAATTTATTCAGTTGTTTTGGTCTTTGAAGAGCAATTGATGGTCATCGTTCAATTTCTTTCATTATGTCACCATTGTTGGTAATCAATGACCCAAGATATTCAACATTGTCCACAAAGTCTAATCTTTCCTTACTGGCAACATTTTTTTCTCCATAGTAGTTTTATCTATATGCACTATCTTTGTTTTTGCTATGTGAAGATATAAGTTGTGATTTTCACTATTTTTTGGGGTTGAAAGTTTTCTATGCCAGCCTGTGATATGGATATCAATATTGTATCATCGGCATCTCTGATCTCTGGTATTACATGACCACCAATATTAGGGCATCATTTTGCTCTCTGGTTAAATCATCGGTGACATTTCTAATTATATTTTCATTGTACAGGTTAAACAAATAGGGTGACAGCACACAGTCCTGACAGACTCCTTGCCTTATGTCAAACCAGTCTGTTGTCTCGCCATCTATTCTAACCACTGCTTGTTGGTCTAGATAAAGCATTGTTATAAGGTGTACTGTATGTGATACACACAACTTTGGATCTAACACTGGACCTTGTACTCTTTTAACAGGAAAGAAAGTTGAATCTTTCCACATGAGATCTCTCCTGAGTATTTCTTGGAAGGACAATATATATATATAAAAAAAACAAAGTGCTTGAAATGGTAGACATTTTGACAGTTCACAGTCTTCTAAAGAAAGACTTCTGTGGTGGCTGGGCCTTGTGTCTTGAATGCAGGATGAATGTATTCCAAAAGATCTGTTTATGAACTAGCCAACCGCTAGACCACAGGTACCAAATAAGGGTGTCTGTAAACAGGATATGAAAACCCTTGGCATAGATTAAGAAATGTGGAAAAGAGTTGCTGCAGACGGATATTCCTTGAGAAGATATGTACAAATGGACTGGCGCCCTTTGAGCTGTCTGATCCAACAAATTGAGGACAAGCCGGCGGCATTAGTAAAGGATACAGTCTCTTGCTGCAGGACCTGCCTTGTCTTACAGATTTGAAAACGAGAGATTGTCTGCTGTAAAACTGGACTATATAGTCACCAGCAGCACTGCAAGAGGCTTACTATTGTGTTAGAGGACAGGTTTAGGGTTGAATGTCAGATTTAAAGTTAGCATTAGGAGAAGGATGTCGGATGACAGAGAGGTTATAAATTGTATACACAAGGGAGCTGTACCGTATGGTCGCAGACCATGAAGATAATGGAGAGATAATATCTGAACAGATCTGCAAACACTTGGTCTCACCAACTGAAAAGAGAAGAGCCAACCAGAGAGATGAATGGAGGCAGGTGTTATCTGCAGCAATGAACCTCAAGGGCTCGGACTGCTGAAGTAGAATATTAGGAGAAGCATTTAGGATTAGAATTAGGGGTAGTAGCATTTAGGGTCAATGTCAGATGCAGGTTTTTTAAAATAGTTTTTTTAGTGTCTCAGAGAGCCTTATAGTATCTGTTGAAGTCAAATGTGGCAGCTTTTTGTAATGCTAGAAAGTATACAACGTTCAAACTGAAGAAACGTAAAATCTAGAGAGGTTTATAGCAGAATAACAATTAGAAATCAATTGTTGAAGCCAAAGTTGAGAGGATTTACTTCATTGCATCCTGTTTTGTTATGGCTTGGTCTCTCTGCGCAATATGGTAAGCTGCAAGCGTTGCACAAAGCATTAACTCTACAGCTCCATAAGAATTGCACCTCTGAACTGAATGACATGTCAGTGAAATGTACCTACAATCTTCAGAGCTTAAGATTACTGTTTGACCACTTTGCCATGAAGACCCCTTGCATGTTATTTTATGCAGCCCTTTTGTGTGGCACAGAAACCAGGAAACTGATAAAAGGCAACGTTGAGAGCTTTAACTGTTGAGAGGCAATATTGAGAGCTTTAACTAGTGAGAAGCAATGTTGAGAGCTTTAACTGTTGAGAGGCAATGTTGAGAGCTTTAACTGTTGAGAGGCAATGTTGAGAGCATTAACTAATGAGAGGCAATATTGAGAGCATTAACTAGTGAGAGGCAATGTTGAGAGCTTTAACTGTTGAGAGGCAATATTGAGAGCATTAACTAGTGAGAGGCAATGTTGAGAGCTTTGACTGGTGGGAGGCAATGCTGAGACTTTAACTGGTGGGAGGCAATGTTGAGACTTTAACTGGTGGGAGGCAATGTTGAGAGCATTAACTAGTGAGAGGCAATATTGAGAGCATTAACTAGTGAGAGGCAATGTTGAGAGCTTTAACTGTTGAGAGCTTTAACTGTTGAGAGGCAATGTTGAGAGCATTAACTAGTGAGAGGCAATATTGAGAGCATTAACTAGTGAGAGGCAATGTTGAGAGCTTTAACTGTTGAGAGGCAATATTGAGAGCATTAACTAGTGAGAGGCAATGTTGAGAGCTTTGACTGGTGGGAGGCAATGCTGAGACTTTAACTGGTGGGAGGCAATGTTGAGACTTTAACTGGTGGGAGGCAATGTTGAGAGCATTAACTAGTGAGAGGCAATATTGAGAGCATTAACTAGTGAGAGGCAATGTTGAGAGCTTTAACTGTTGAGAGGCAATATTGAGAGCATTAACTAGTGAGAGGCAATGTTGAGAGCTTTGACTGGTGGGAGGCAATGCTGAGACTTTAAATGGTGGGAGGCAATGCTGAGAGCTTTAACTGGTTGGGAGGCAATGTTGAGCACTTTGACTTTTGAGAGCTTTAACTGGTGAGAGGCAATTTTGGGAGTGTAAACTGATGGATCACAATTTTGAGAGTGTAAACTGGTGGTTCACAACTTTGAGAGTGTAAACTGATGGATCACAATTTTGAGAGTGTAAACTGATGGATCACAATTTTGAGAGTGTAAACTGATGGTTCACAGTTTTGAGAGTGTAAACTGGTGGTTCACAATTTTGAGAGTGTAAACTGATGGTTCACAGTTTTGAGAGTGTAAACTGATAGATCACAATTTTGAGAGTGTAAACTGATAGATCACAATTTTGAGAGTGTAAACTGATGGTTCACAGTTTTGAGAGTGTAAACTGGTGGTTCACAGTTTTGAGAGTGTAAACTGATGGTTCACAGTTTTGAGAGTGTAAACTGATGGTTCACAGTTTTGAGAGGGTAAACTGATGGGTCGCAATTTTGAGAGTGTAAACTGATGGTTCGCAGTTTTGAGAGTCGAAATTGATAGTTCGCAATTTTGAGAATGTAAACTGATGGGTCACAATTTTGAGAGTGTAAACTGATGGGTCACAGTTTTGAGAGTGTAAACTGGTGGTTCACAGTTTTGAGAGTGTAAACTGATGGTTCACAGTTTTGAGAGTGTAAACTGATGGTTCACAGTTTTGAGAGTGTAAACTGGTGGTTCACAGTTTTGAGAGTGTAAACTGGTGGTTCACAGTTTTGAGAGTGTAAACTGATGGTTCACAGTTTTGAGAGTGTAAACTGATGGTTCACAGTTTTGAGAGTGTAAACTGATGGTTCACAGTTTTGAGAGTGTAAACTGATGGTTCACAGTTTTGAGAGTGTAAACTGGTGGTTCACAGTTTTGAGAGTGTAAACTGATGGTTCGCAGTTTTGAGAGTCGAAATTGATGGATCACAATTTTGAGAGTGTAAACTGATGGTTCGCAGTTTTGAGAGTGTAAACTGATGGTTCACAGTTTTGAGAGTGTAAACTGGTGGTTCACAGTTTTGAGAGTGTAAACTGATGGTTCGCAGTTTTGAGAGTCGAAATTGATGGATCACAATTTTGAGAGTGTAAACTGATGAGCGGCAGTTAAAAGTGTAAACTGATATGTGGCTGTGTTGAGAGCTTAAACTGATGGTCAGCCGTCTAAGGGACAGTTGTATTACAGACAGTTGATTTATTAGCTCATGTTTGAAATAATCTAATCTGTGATTGTATTCTCAGATCCTTGGCATTATACTTGTTGCCATTGGCATATGGACAGCAGTAGAGAAGATTTATGTGTCTCACGTGATTGGTGACAATCTGTTTGCTGCTGCCTCCTACTTGATCATTGCTGTTGGCATCTTCCTCATTTTGATTTGCATTGTGGGCATTCTAGTTCTGTGGAAGGATAAACGAAAATGGCTGATTACGGTAAGTCAACTGACACATGTTGCTCTAAATTGTTTTTTTTTTCTTTTTTTTTATGTGGCACCCCTTTAAATATACATCACCACCCTTGTTACCCATCCCCTCCCAAATGATCACCAATAACTGATGATTTAGTGTTCATATATCCATGCAATGGTTAACACTGTTTTGTCTTGATATCTCCTATTCTTTGTTTGAGTTGAGTTGAGTCAAGAATTGACATCACAGCACTCGGAGCATTCCCATGTATGCTCCACCCTCATCTTCAGCAGCCATCACAGAGTTCCAGAACTGATGGTACGGGTCACAATCTGGTTGAAAGTTCGTCTTGCCTTTCCTCTGATTGTAGTGAGCCGGCCAGACCCCCTATTTACACACAGGTGCCTCATTCTCTTCAGGCCATAATAATCTACTTTCTCTACTGATTCTGTTGTTTGTTCCCAAAGGGCCTTGACCACATCTGTCTTGTCATGCATCAATTCACCACCTAGCTGTGCAGATCCAGCCAATCTGTCTGCTTGTTTATTACCCACCATGCCGGCATGGCCTAAAGAAAAGATACAAAATATTGCTTTTGTAGTTATATACAGATTGTAGCTATAATTATTTCAGTGCAACTTGGCCATAGTATGGTACTGTTTGAAACGTTTCTTTGGATGCAAATATGTGTCATCCATCACATAAAAAAATGGATCCTCTGTGTCAGACTCATCAGAACTGCTAGATTCTCTAACAGCTGACCACTCAGCTTCCATTGGTGTGAATTCACCATCTGAACTGCTTTCTGAAATTTTAAGTTTTAATTATCAGAATCATAAATAAAAACATCTCACTGAAACAGTTTCAGAGCTTCAGCCACAGAAAGGTGCATTTCGTGGACTGTGCTTGTGTTTTAAACATTTGCCAGTCAAAGACAAAATCAGAAAATTCACTGTGTGAAAATGACACTTGCATACAATTTAACAGTTGTGCACCTTAATATACATAAAGACTTGTAAACAAAAACTCTAGAGCACCTTCCTTGATATTCTAATTATAGTTTCAAGAGTTAAAAACTAGAATGCAAATCAATATGTCTGGGACACATAATTGACACAGACAGTATTGTTTGGGCAAATCAGAACTTTACAGTCAGCACACTCTGTTGCTTGGGCTTGAAAGCGTTAATAAACAAATGCCACTGGTTGCTATATAAATATATTATCTAAACAGAATCTACAATCAGTTATCCACAATTCTGCTATGAAAACATAGTATATTGTTAGTCGTGTAAACTAATGAAATATTGTTTGGAAATTAAACTCTCTTTAATAGAGAATGTGTCATGGTGGGGCAGGCAAGGTTACTCACTGTTACCTGATATCTTAAATTCAGCAGGATAGTGATAAGTATTTTCCGGGTACAGTTAATATGTTACATCACAACTTTTTTTATACACAATTTTTTTTTTTAATTGGAACGGCACTATAGCTTTTGAAACATTTTCAGTATCTGTCCACTTGCTTTATTTCTAACCAGATGTATATAAAATTGTTTCATCTTTATCTCCAGATAAAATTGTTTCATCTTTATCTCCAGTTAAAATTGTTTCATCTTTATCTCCAGTACCTGTGTCTGCTGATACTGTCCTTTGTGATCCTCATCACTGCAGCCGTTCTAGCCATTGTGTTTAAAGGGGAGGTAAGTACTGCTTTTTTTATGTTTAGAGTTTTGAGAACCTGGATGATTCATGCAACATTTATTTATTATCTCCCATCTACAACTTGGTTGTCAATGTCATTATCTATATAAACAATTCTTCTCTGAATGGTAGTGTGAAAACTGTGTGGTCTGCAGCTTTGTTTGTTTTGAATAGCTTGAGGTCCTCTAATTTTTCAAGTGGTCTAAAATACAAAGCTTTACTTACTCCTTACCACAACAGTAGAGCCGACCAGGACACACCTAAAAAAAATGGATGGTCATTCTAAACATACTACAAATATTGTCTATGGTAATGGTTTACTGCCAACCAAACTTTAAATAGTGCTTGTTTAAATTCGTGACAAGGTTTACTTTTCTCTTGTTAGTTTCTAGTCCACATTTCAGAGTATCATATTATTTTCTTTGTTTCTTCTAAATTTGAAGCACTAGTACTTAGCATACTTAGTGTACCATTATCACTGTTCTTCTGAATATTGTTGTTGCTTCCACTATAGACAGTTAAATGGTTTTACTGATTTGGGGGGAGGGGATAAGGGTCACCATTTAAGGGTTTTCAAGCGTACTGAAAGAAATAACTTGTTTACCTTAAAAATGCAGTAGTGAAAACAGTATGGATAAATAGAGTGAAATAAGAATTGGTTTGACATGTCTGTCACAGTCTGTTCAGGGGGGACATCTATGCTTCCAGTGCCACATCATCACTATGCCTCTCTCATTTTGCAGCAAAATAGTGCTGACATCAAATGAAACTGACATTGTATAAATTAATAAATGACATATAAAACTGTCAATGGCATAACATAAAACTGTCACTTACATCACATAGAACAAACACTAACTGACATCTTAATAGGTAAAGTCGGTAGATGTGAACCACCGTCATTGCACATGGTTAGGAACCCTAAGTGCTCTGCCACCGGTATGGACAGCATCTTAGAAAACTATAATTTCTGATATAGAATTAGTCATTGGAACAGGTGCTGACTATTCTGTCAAATTGTATAGGCCACATTGCTTGCTTCTATGCCATTTCTATTCGGCATCAACACTGAGAGTTTTTCAGCTATCTTGTTCACAGATAAATATTACTAGTGTGTTTGAACTTGTCAGCTCTAAGCACATCCTTGTTTATCTGTTGTAGGTGGAAAGTGTGATGGTGAACAACATGAGACGTTCCATGATCAATGGTTATGGTAAAGACAGAGACATCACCAGTGCTTGGGATCAACTGCAGTCACAGGTAAAAAAAAAGCATTTCAATGTTAGGTAAAAATCTGTTGTCCAGATTCATGTTGGTTTCATTTATTTTGTGTTAGCTTGTGGAAACTCGTGAATTTGCTGTTGAGCAGGACAGTTGTTTTGATAAGCATGTTTGTTTGTTAGCTCAGATTGTTAGCCATATATATCAGTAAATATATATTTCCTGTTTGTTGCTAATAGTGGCTGTAGCATGTCACAGCTTACTTTTTCTTTCCCCCTTCATTTACTTTAATCATCATCATCACAAAACACTTCTGCCAATAAGCATGGTTAGGTTAGTTGTGTATCCTTTTACAGGACGTTGCAGAACCAACCCCAACAGCCCCTGGCTGTTTTGTGGTTTTTTAAGGCAAATTTATGTCCAGTAGTTTTCTATTAATAAGCATGGTAGGGAGGAATAATTTATGATCCAGTAAGTGCACACTGGCTGGCTATTGTCATGCCATGAAGGCGTAAAGTGTTTTTAATGTTGTCAATCCATATTTTTTTTTCATGGCTGCCGTTTGCTCTTGTAGCTGATCTTCTGTTATGTAGTGCCTGTGATAGTATGTGATGTTGCTGCATTCTAAGGAGATGGCCAAACCACTTGATCGGCTGTTTCTCGATAAATCTAGTGCAAGGTGTCATTTACTATTATGTGGGAAAATCACTTTCATGGAAACTTCCATTAGTGATCCAGTGATCCAAAACCAGAATTATACATGCTGTTAATTCTTCACAGCTTAATGTTCTCGTTGAAAACCACAAAAAAATGTTATGACTGATATTGCTTTCTACCTGCTCTAGTCAGCTGTTCATGGACCCTTCATGTATAGATGTGCCCTTGCCCTAAGTTTTTAGCCCATAAGACCAAAAAGAGGACCAATTGTGGAACCTTCATCAGATCTAATCAATAATTAAACAATTCAACTTCACTAGTCTCCCTTCTTTCAAGAATTTCATGGTAAAACCGTTCTCAAAAGTTTTCATTTAGGAAATAAGAAAGAAATCTGCTTTCTCTTGGGATCAACAACAAAAAAGCCACTGTAATCTACCCTACATGTCCTAAGAGGAAGCTGGGAGAGGAATGCTTTGGGGTTGGCTACCACATCAAATAGAGAACTAGATGCAAGGGGACCAGTGGTCTCAAGGTACAGTGTCTGCCTCGAGTGCAGGAGGTCCTGGGTTCAAGCCCCAGTTAAGGCTGGGATTTTTTTTTCATGGACTTCTAGTAATTTTCCCTGGTCTGTGGGTAGTAAGATTGGACACCGGTGTGTATTCTTACGCACGTAAAAAATCCCTTAGCAGTTGGAAATCAAAAAGAGTAGCATAGCGGCTAGCCTAGTGGCGCTGCCCGGGCAAAAATTTGGAGTTAAAAAACTACCCAAAGTATTTCAGTAGATGCACACTCCAAGAGGCTACCACATCCTGTAGAGAGATAGATGCAAATTCCAACATGCTACCACATCCTGCAGAGAGCTAGATGCAAACTCCAACAGACTACCACATCCTACAGAGAGCTATAAGCAAATTCCAACAGACTACCACATCCTACAGAGAGCTAGATGCAAATTCCAAGAGGCTACCACATCCTGTACATAGATAGATGCAAACTCCAAGAGGCTACCACATCCTGTAGAAAACTAGATGCAAACCCCAACAGGCTACCACATACTGTAGAGAACTAGATACAAACTCCAAGAGGCTACAAAAGATGATGTTGATGGGCTAGGGGCATGTGGTCAATTGGAGATCAAAGTCGGCACAAGAAAAAGAATGCAGCCACTTCAAACCCTCAGCATTTAGATTTGTGAGTAATCTTGAACCAGGTATGACAGCTGATGAGGTAGATAGGACACAGTCCTACCACCAAGGTAGATAGGACACCAGCCACCTTACTAGATGTCTCTTTAATGCTGTCTTTATCAGGCAAAGCCATGTGGTCATAAATAACTCTTATCTGGAGGGACATTCGGTCCCAGTTTGTTGGTAGATGTGTGTAGCAGCCATCAGTATTTGTGCAGTACCATGATTACTGATCAGTAAGATGGAGGAAAGAAAGATGTTCATTTGAATACCACAGTGGTGAAATAGTTCTATGGTACTGTGTCAGTAAAATTACTGTTATCTTTAAAGTTTCACTGCTGTGCCAATAGTGAGGCTCAGTTCTCTCCGCTGTTCAGCTTTCCTCATAATAATAATGTTACTGTTTTTCCTTATAGTTACACTGCTGTGCTGTTAGTGAGACTGTGTTGTCTCCTTCACCTTTGTTCAACTTTCCTTATGTGGATGGAAGTTCACCTCAGAATTTGGATGAGAGAGCAAAGCAAGATTCCTGGGCTATTTATAAACGTACAGAGTTTTACAAAAATCAGCTAAGTAAGTTTCTAGTTGTACAAACACCAGTCTTGCAATTGTTTGTTTATTGTAGCCATAGTTACCATGTCACTGTCTGCACACACACACACCCCCACATATACACACACACAGCATGTATCTCAGCAGAGTGTACACTGACCCTGAAGCTATCCTCTATATTCAGCAGCACAAAACTAGCACATAAAAGTATACAACAAAATAATTGTAGTTAATACCGCAAATTGAACAGTTGTAGATAATACAACAAAAAGAATAGATGTAGATAATATTACACAATAAACAAATCTAGTGTTGATGATTTGTCTCACAAACATGAGGGTAAGCTAGAGGCTACAATGTTGCATATCAAAGAGTCTCCTGTACCTCTCACTTCAGGCAGAAGCAAGCCCTGTGATAATGTATGAAAACTCACACAAGACTTGTCATAGATCCTCACTTTTTACCAAGGATAAATGGCTTTCATAGACTCAATAAATGTCAGAAAAGCCCAGAAGTTATGTGCAGGACTGGAGGATTTTTTTTTTACTGCTGTGATTCAGTAAGCATTTTATGTCAGCTCTGCATTTTTGGAATTTTCTGCATATATATTATCTCTCCACCCTCTTTTGGTTTGTCTCAGGGTCTACTCCCTATCAGCGTTTTTGTTTATTGTCTGGGATGATGAGAAATGCTCAGGTTCTGCCCTTGTCTTCCTTTGAGGGCTGACCAGCATACACAAAGATGGGATGGCTGGACCTGCTTGGGCCACCACCTGCAGTTGATTAGGGGCTTGTCTTCCTCTGAGGGCTGACTAGCATGCACAAAGATGGGATGGATGGGCCTGCTTGGGCCACCACCTGCAGTTGATTAGGGGCTTGTCTTCCTTTGAGGGCTGACAAGCTTACACAAAGATGTGATGGATGGGCCTGCTTGGGCCACCACCTGCAGTTGATTAGGGGCTTGTCTTCCTTTGAGGGCTGACTAGCTTACACAAAGATGGGATGGAAGGGCCTGCTTGGGCCACCACCTGCAGTTGATTAGGGGCTTGTCTTCCTTTGAGGGCTGACGGCATACACAAAGATGGGATGGATGGGCCTGCCTGGGCCACCACCAGCAGTTGATAGGGGCTTGTCTTCCTTTGAGGGCTGACGAGCTTACACAAAGATGGGATGGATGGGCCTGCTTGGGCCACCACCTGCAGTTGATTAGGGGCTAGTCTACCTTTGAGGGCTGACCAGCTTACACAAAGATGGGATTGATGGGCCTGCTTGGGCCACCACCTGCAGTTAATTAGGGGCTTGTCTTCCTCTGAGGGCTGATGAGCTTACACAAAGATGGGATGGATGGGCCTGCTTGGGCCACCACCTGCAGTTAATTAGGGGCTTGTCTTCCTCTGAGGGCTGACCAGCATACACAAAGATGGGATGGATGGGCCTGCTTGGGCCACCACCTGCAGTTGATTAGGGGCTTGTCTTCCTTTGAGGGCTGACCAGCATACACAAAGATGGGATGGATGGGCCTGCTTGGGCCACCACCTGCAGTTGATTAGGGGCTTGTCTTCCTTTGAGGGCTGACCAGCATACACAAAGATGGGATGGATGGGCCTGCTTGGGCCACCAGCTGCAGTTGATTGGGGGCAGACATGAAGTCACAGTCAGGGCAAAGGGACAGAAACAGTTAGATATCCCTTCAGCCAGACATCATTACTGGATGATGAGTGATGGATCAATTCTTGTATGATCCTTGTCAGTACATCTATACAGCCAGACATCATTACTAGGTGATGACTGATGGATACATTCTTGGATGATCCTTGTCAGTATGGCACATAGTGATAATGCATGGAAACTTTCTTTTATGATCCTTGTCAGTACGGCACATAGTGATGATTGATGGATACATTCTTTTATGATTCCTGTCAGTATGGCACATATTAATGATGATGAATACATTTCTTTGTGACCCTTGTCAGTACTGCATATAGTGATGATTGATGGATACATTTCTTTGTGACCCTTGTCAGCAAGGCACATAGTAATGATTGATGGATACATTTCTTTGTGACCCTTGTCAGTATAGCACAAAGTGATGATTGATACATACATTTCTTTGTGATCAATGTACTATGACACAGAGTGTCAATAATTGTACTATCAGCCTGTAATTAGCCTCTTTCCTGGAATCTTAAACTGAATACTGTGTGTGTGGGCATAGTTCAAGGAGCTCTTAACATACCTGGATGACACAAGTAATGTTGATTTGTAGCAGTTATTAGGATGATTTGTAAAAGAAAAGGAGATATTGATGTGCATAATCAAGGAGAATTTGAAAGGGTGGGGGCACACATAACTTACTGAGTATTTTTTCCATTTGACCAAGTGTGAATTATTTCTGCATTAAGTTCAACCAAATGAAGGAGTCCATGTGGAAATGTGGAATTATGTTAATGATCTTTGTCCACAGTGGTTGGTGAAAACGAGAGGAAGTACGTTCCACCTTCCTGTTGTGTGTACGATGATAAGCTCCGTGGCTACAAAAATGTGAAGACTTGCCAGTATTTTTCTTTGGGCCCGCCAGTGAATTACGCTGCTGGGCACCAAAATGAAAACTTACATTATACAGTAAGTGATATACATATAGCCACTAGATATTACATTATGCAGTAAGTATGATATACATATAGCCACTAGATATTACATTATGCAGTAAGTATGATATACATATAGCCACTAGATATTACATTATGCAGTATGATATACATATAGCCACTAGATATTACATTATGCAGTAGATATGATATACATATAGCCAATAGATATTACATTATGCGGTAAGTATGATATACATATAGCCACTAGATATTACATTATGGGGTAAGTATGATATACATATAGCCACTATATATTACATTATGCAGTAGGTATGATATACATATAGCCACTAGATATTACATTATGCGGTAAGTATGATATACATATAGCCACTAGATATTACATTATGTGGTAAGTATGATATACATATAGCCACTATATATTACATTATGCAGTAAGTATGATATACATATAGCCACTAGATAATACATTATGCAGTAAGTATGATATACATATAAAAAAGTAAAGTATAGCCACTAAATATTACATTATGCAGTAGGTATGATATACATATAGCCACTAAATATTACATTATGCAGTAGGTATGATATACATATAGCCACTAGATATTACATTATGCAGTAGGTATGATATACATATAGCCACTAAATACCAGTTGGCTTGTCTGCTTGTTTCATTGCTTGATTGACAACAGCTGCAAAAGTTACATTCTGGTTCTCATCAGCTAAGTTTTATTTTATCGTTTTATAATATCTGTAATGGTATCAACTTGTGTTTGTAGGTAAATTCTTCAGCAGAAAGCAATGTATTAATCAGCACAAAATAAAAGGCTCAAACATATAACCACACATTTAACCAGTGAACAAATCAACATATTCTAAAACACACACAAATAATAAAGGCACATAGGAAAAGAAATATGAAACATAGAAACAGACATTTGTTGTGAAATAAAATGATCTACTAACAGCCATAAATTAGGTTATAAGATTTACAAGCAATGCTTGCATAATTCTGGATCACTTGTCATAAGATGGCTGAAAGACTGCCTCACTAAATATTCAGTAGATATTGTTCTTTTTGTCAGTTTATGATTGCTGACCATTTTGTATAATTGGTTAGCAGCTGGCCCCTTTAGTCTCCATAATGCTGTATAGAAGGCATGTCAATCACAGCTCATAGAGATTATTAAGACCAGCTTTCTTTAGGAAGAATCTTCCACAATAAGTGCATGGGCTTTCAGTATCATTGTTGAGTTGACATCTGTTTAATCTCAAACTGTCTCCAATCTTTTTCTCCTTTGTTTCTATTCCCTTCCTAATTTTTCCCCTTAATGCAGTGGGATCTATGACGTCTCTACCCCATGAGGGGGACTGAGCCTCGAGAGGCAGGGGGTAAGAAGTGTTGGTGTTGTGGGTAGTGGGTTCCCCCCCTTACTTCACCCTAGGTCTAGTGAATATCTGTTCACGAAAGGAGCGTCCATTGTGGTGTCAGCCTCTTGACCTAGCAAAACCTCTCTTACCTCAAAACCATTGTGCGTGGCGAAGAGTCACAGCCTCCCCGAGGTAGTCCCGGTAACTGGGGGTGCGAATCCCCAGGCAAAACACAATGGATCTAAAGGAGCAAACCTCGATAATAAACCCGGTACACCACACCGTACTGCCCCCTGTGGGAGGGAAGGAGCCAGAGGTGTGCTGAACAGTCTTAGGAATGGAAACAAGTATGCTAACCCCCCTGAATACCGGAAACTATCGTGAAGGCACAGGGACTCAGGACGTGACGATCCAGTTGCCCCAACTACTCATGCTTAGGCCATGCTTAGAGACATGAAGAGCTCAGCCAAACCTGCAGGCAATCTGGTGGCGGGGAATGAGCACACTGTGAGCCCCACCTTAGCTACGTGTTAAAGGGAAAGGCAGAAACACAACCCATATTTCCTTTAGAACTCGTACAGGGCATTTCTAGCTGCTGCCCGGGGAGGTGGGTAATCCACAGACACCCCAGCACCACAATGCCATGAACATGCAAATTCCACTACATGGCATTGGGCCAAAGGGCGAAAGCTCATGCGCCGCTGGATCGATAACAACAACTACCCCATGAGTCCATATCACATGTACCTTCATGCCCTACTTGCACATATCTTTAAATCGCTGTAGAAGCTGACTGCAACATCTTTTACCCATCTGTAATTTACTATAGAGAATGTCCTTTGGGACACAACCATCTCCCACCTTCATTGTGTGCTGGGTATGTGAGCTCTTCAAGACTGAGCACTGAAAAAACCTTTGAAGTTTCTCCTCTCCATAAGTCAGCTTGTGCAGTATTGTAGAGACGATGCGTTGCCCATGCAGCTTGATTCCTCCCTTAGCCTGCCTTATTTACTTCCAGAGAAAATGTAATACAAATACATTTGAAACAGAGCATGCTGCAGAGGTGCAGTGCTCTGTCTGTCCTATTGGAATTTCCTTTTTTAGGAAAGCTCCCAACCAAGGCTAAGGGTCTGGTCTGGTTTGACATAATATTCAGTTTCTAGGTTACATTTCCTTATCTTGGGATAAGGCCAGGATCTCGTCAATGTGCTTCCTCTTTTGAAACCATTATTACAAGTGGGATTTCAGGCTTGGTATAATCCATACAATTACAGTTAGGGAAAAGTGTTACAAAGAACCTCTGTTATTGTATGCACATTAGACATGGACAGCAAACAGACAAGCAGAAAAAAAATTGAAATAGAAATGTGTGTGTGTTTAGGAGAATGCAAAGAATATCATAGAGTGATAGAGAAATAAACAGTGTTGTCTTCCTGGAGACAGATGAGAGCCATAAACTGATGAATGAAACTAAATGTATGCAGTGGGTGTTGTTTGGACATGTTCTAAGAATGATTCGACTTGAAAACAAGGTTACAGCTGGCAAAACCAATGGAAAGAGGAGAACTGGAGGGCAAAGAGATTAATACTTGATGACTTAACTATATGGATGTGGTGAGACAAGAACTCTGACCTGATCCATGAGGTGACAAAGTATGACAGCCTATGCCTGCCTGCAGGGCACACGATGATGAGATACCACCCAGTGTTCAGCACTAAGAGAGAACATGCATCTAGTGAGTGCTGTTATACACTAGCTCAGTTATATTTGACCGAGGGCTGACTTACTGTTAGCTAGATCAGTGAGAATTGCAGCATGAGATAGAGAGAAACAATGTATGCTTCTTCTTCTTAGTTTGTGCTGTTATTACATTGTGTCTGTTTGGATGTTTGCATTTTCAGCTGACACATCTAAATTTTTTCAGGCATGTCTTCTTCTTCTTCGTGTTCCCCGGCTGTAAACTTCGACTGACAATTCTGGTTGTTCATTCACCTCTGGACTTTAGACTTGTTCCAGAACCTGAGTGTTGTGTGCACATCCATTTTACATATCTGAGTTTTTTGTATTTAGACTGTTGGTTCCTTGCCTCTCAGCAGATTTACTCTGACTTCGAAGGAAACCCCCAATTAGTCGACTCTTGTGACGTGCTTGGCGGGGAGACAGTGGGTCTATTCTTGTTTTCCCCATAATGGGGCCCCGGAACCCACATAGGGATTCAGGCAATTGTTTTCAGGGTTAGCTTTCCTGGTTAGTTATCTAGGACATTTTACAGCCTCATTTGTCTGGTGTCTGATTCACTAATGTTGCCTCTAGAGGGGTCATCCAGGGCACCAATATGCTGACATGGACTGCCCACAAGAGAAAGTAGGGGCTGAATATGGCATTCCCCAAAGAGGTTTCTGGACACTGTTTATCTCGGGCCCACCAGCTATTGAATTCCCTGCCAGATATGTTTAGGCTTTTATCCATGGCACAGGGTGTGGTCTTGTGGCAGGAGTAATGTCCCATGAAACCAGCACAGAGCCCACTGGTGAGGTAATGGGGAATCCCCTTATACACACTACAAAGGCCTTAAGTTTGCCTCGTGCCTTTGACCACAATTACCACCTTGTGAACAAGGTATGTTCAGTCTTTTAATACCTGGAAATCTGGGTGGGGAAACCATTATTAAGTTAATAGTGGCATACAGAGGAGAGGTAATGATTTAATGAATAAATAGGTCACGATAACAGTTTAATGTTTAACTAAGAATCAACAACATAGCACTCTGGACATTCCCATAAGTGCAACGCTCCCATCTTTAGCAGCAAGCACATGGTTCCAGTTCCTGTGTTACCAATAGCATTCTGATTGAATATCCATCTCATCTTTTCCTTCAGTACTGACCATTGACCAGATCCCCGGGTCACTCTTTACAGTACCATTTTCCATCTGTGCTTCCACACTGTTCTATTGCACCTAAAGTGCCCCTACCAAATCAGGCTTGTCAGGCATCAGTTCACCGCCAAGTTATGCAGAATATGTCAGTTTATCTCCTGTTCATTTCTTAATATCCTAGGGAAAATATCTACAGAAAGCTAATTACCCAGGAACTTTGAAGCAACGCTTACCATTCTTCATGGAGCATACCAGTTTTCACCTTTCTCAACATGCTCTGTGAGTTGGTTACAGCGTGTGTACAGCTGATTCTCAAGCCAGCAAAGGGCTGCAGTGACTGCCTCCACCTCCATTCTCAAACTAGATGTTGTGGTGTCACATGCCAGGTTTCTGTGTACTAAGCGACATCCATTAACTTTTGCTAATGTGCTTCATCTGCCTCTCAGCACACACAATGCCATCTCTGTAGATCATCACATCATCTGGACAAGCATTGTCATGAATCCACTGGCCAGTACCTGCACTTATGGCCTAGTGTGATCAGAACCCTACACAAGTCTGACTTTTGCTGGGACATTCTCTCCTCGCTAAATGTTATCAAGCCTATACACTTGTCTAATTGTGTCTTCATCTTGTGCCGTCCCAGACCTTCCTGTTTTTAGTCTGTGACCCTTAGCTCTTAAAAGGGCTTCATGTATTACGTGTTTTCCTATCTGAGATATGACTTTGCTTGCAGCACTTTGAGCCTATCTATAATAGTCGCCAGTGCAAGTATATATTGTATACATAATCTTGTGGTATCTCTTGTACATCCCAGAATGCCTCATGGCTATATTCTGTGTGCGTTCAAGTTTTATCAGCTGACTCTTTGATGTGGTAAGCATGCCAAGTCCATAATCTATCACCGACATTCTTTGTTCCTTGTCCATTGCTGCCATAACCTTAAGTGCTTTAGTCCTTTTTTGGCATTTTGCTGCAACTGCCTCCACATGATCTCTGAAGGTCATGCTTCTATTAAAAATGATACACGGGCACCTCAGTTTGCTTTCTCTTTAGATGTTTCTGTCAATAACTGTGAGACCTGGAACATCATCTCTTACAATTCTATTATCCAAAGAGCACGATAAAATAGCTAGAAAATTGGTGTCACAGTTTTCACATTCCAGTGTCTTGTATTTGCTTTTCTCTTCTGAGTATTTTGTACTTCTCACTTTTTGATGTTTACCATTTCCCTTCAGAGCAGAAGCTGATAACGTTTCTTTTTGTAATAAAAATATGAGCAATCTCATTCAGTCCATACTACCAGGGTAATCTCAGCCAGAAGCATGAGAAGGTCCACTGAACTGTGGGAATATGTCGCAGCTTAGAGAAGGTCCACTGAACTGTGGGAATATCTGTCACAGCTTAGAGAAGGTCCACTGAACTGTGGGAATATCTGTCGTAGTTTAGAGAAGGTCCACTGAACTGTGGGAATATCTGTCGCAGATTAGAGAAGGTCCACTGAACTGTGGGAATATCTGTCGTAGTTTAGAGAAGGTCCACTGAACTGTGGGAATATCTGTCGCAGTTTAGAGAAGGTCCACTGAACTGTGGGAATATCTGTCGCAGATTAGAGAAGGTCCACTGAACTGTGGGAATATCTGTCGTAGTTTAGAGAAGGTCCACTGAACTGTGGGAATATCTGTCGCAGCTTAGAGAAGGTCCACTGAACTGTGGGAATATCTGTCGCAGCTTAGAGAAGGCCCACTGAACTGTGGGAATATCTGTCGTAGTTTAGAGAAGGTCCACTGAATTGTGGGAATATCTGTCGCAGCTTAGAGAAGGTCCACTGAACTGTGGGAATATCTGTCGCAGCTTAGAGAAGGCCCACTGAACTGTGGGAATATCTGTCGTAGTTTAGAGAAGGTCCACTGAATTGTGGGAATATCTGTCGCAGCTTAGAGAAGGTCCACTGAACTGTGGGAATATCTGTCGCAGTGTAGAGAAGGTCCACTGAACTGTGGGAATATCTGTCGCAGCTTAGAGAAGGTCCACTGAACTGTGGGAATATCTGTCGCAGCTCAGAGAAGGTCCACTGAACTATGGGAATATCTGTCGCAGCTTAGAGAAGGTCCACTGAACTATGGGAATATCTGTCGCAGTGTAGAGAAGGTCCACTGAACTGTGGGAATATCTGTCGTAGTTTAGAGAAGGTCCACTGAATTGTGGGAATATCTGTCGCAGTGTAGAGAAGGTCCACTGAACTGTGGGAATATCTGTCATAGTTTAGAGAAGGTCCACTGAACTGTGGGAATATCTGTCGCAGCTTAGAGAAGGTCCACTGAACTGTGGGAATATCTGTCGCAGCTTAGAGGTCCACTGAACTGTGGGAATATCTGTCGCAGCTTAGAGAAGGTCCACTGAACTGTGGGAATATCTGTCGCAGTGTAGAGAAGGTCCACTGAACTGTGGGAATATCTGTCGCAGTTTAGAGAAGGTCCACTGAACTGTGGGAATATCTGTCGCAGCTTAGAGAAGGTCCACTGAATTGTGGGAATATCTGTCACAGCTTAGAGAAGATCCACTGAACTGTGGGAATATCTGTCGCAGCTTAGAGAAGGTCCACTGAACTGTGGGAATATCTGTCGCAGCTCAGAGAAGGTCCACTGAACTGTGGGAATATCTGTCGCAGCTTAGAGAAGGTCCACTGAACTGTGGGAATATCTGTCGCAGCTCAGAGAAGGTCCACTGAACTATGGGAATATCTGTCGCAGCTTAGAGAAGGTCCACTGAACTATGGGAATATCTGTCGCAGTGTAGAGAAGGTCCACTGAACTGTGGGAATATCTGTCGTAGTTTAGAGAAGGTCCACTGAATTGTGGGGAATATCTGTCGCAGTGTAGAGAAGGTCCACTGAACTGTGGGAATATCTGTCGTAGTTTAGAGAAGGTCCACTGAACTGTGGGAATATCTGTCGCAGCTTAGAGAAGGTCCACTGAACTGTGGGAATATCTGTCGCAGCTTAGAGGTCCACTGAACTGTGGGAATATCTGTCGCAGCTTAGAGAAGGTCCACTGAACTGTGGGAATATCTGTCGCAGTGTAGAGAAGGTCCACTGAACTGTGGGAATATCTGTCGCAGTTTAGAGAAGGTCCACTGAACTGTGGGAATATCTGTCGCAGCTTAGAGAAGGTCCACTGAATTGTGGGAATATCTGTCACAGCTTAGAGAAGATCCACTGAACTGTGGGAATATCTGTCGCAGCTTAGAGAAGGTCCACTGAACTGTGGGAATATCTGTCGCAGCTCAGAGAAGGTCCACTGAACTGTGGGAATATCTGTCGCAGCTTAGAGAAGATCCACTGAACTGTGGGAATATCTGTCATAGCTCAGAGAAGATCCACTGAACTGTGGGAATATCTGTCACAGCTTAGAGAAGATCCACTGAACTGTGGGAATATCTGTCGCAGCTTAGAGAAGGTCCACTGAATTGTGGGAATATCTGTCGCAGCTTAGAGAAGGTCCACTGAACTGTGGGAATATCTGTCACAGCTTAGAGAAGGTCCACTGAACTGTGGAAATATCTGTCGCAGCTTAGAGAAGGTCCACTGAATTGTGGGAATATCTGTCGCAGCTTAGAGAAGGTCCACTGAACTGTGGAAATATCTGTCGCAGCTTAGAAAAGGTCCACTGAATTGTGGGAATATCTGTCGCAGCTTAGAGAAGGTCCACTGAACTGTGGGAATATCTGTCACAGCTTAGAGAAGGTCCACTGAATTGTGGGAATATCTGTCGCAGCTTAGAGAAGGTCCACTGAACTGTGGGAATATCTGTCGCAGCTTAGAGAAGATCCACTGAACTGTGGGAATATCTGTCGCAGCTTAGAGGTCCACTGAACTGTGGGAATATCTGTCGTAGCTTAGAGAAGGTCCACTGAACTGTGGGAATATCTGTCGTAGCTTAGAGAAGGTCCACTGAACTGTGGGAATATCTGTCGTAGCTTAGAGAAGGTCCACTGAACTGTGGGAATATCTGTCGTAGCTTAGAGAAGGTCCACTGAACTGTGGGAATATCTGTCGCAGCTTAGAGAAGGTCCACTGAACTGTGGGAATATCTGTCGTAGCTTAGAGAAGGTCCACTGAACTGTGGGAATATCTGTCGTAGCTTAGAGAAGGTCCACTGAACTGTGGGAATATCTGTCGCAGCTTAGAGAAGGTCCACTTAACTGTGGGAATATCTGTCGCAGCTTAGAGAAGGTCCACTGAATTGTGGGAATATCTGTCGCAGCTTAGAGAAGGTCCACTGAACTGTGGGAATATCTGTCGCAGCTTAGAGAAGGTCCACTGAACTGTGGGAATATCTGTCGCAGCTTAGAGAAGGTCCACTGAATTGTGGGAATATCTGTCGCAGCTTAGAGAAGGTCCACTGAATTGTGGGAATATCTGTCGCAGCTTAGAGAAGGTCCACTGAACTGTGGGAATATCTGTCGCAGCTTAGAGAAGGTCCACTGAACTGTGGGAATATCTGTCGCAGCTTAGAGGTCCACTGAACTGTGGGAATATCTGTCGCAGATTAGAGAAGGTCCACTGAACTGTGGGAATATCTGTCGCAGCTTAGAGAAGGTCCACTGAACTGTGGGAATATCTGTCGCAGCTTAGAGAAGGTCCACTGATTTGTGGGAATATCTGTCACAGCTTAGAGAAGGTCCACTGAACTGTGGGAATATCTGTCACAGCTTAGAGAAGGTCCACTGAACTGTGGGAATATCTGTCACAGCTTAGAGAAGGTCCACTGAATTGTGGGAATATCTGTCGCAGCTTAGAGAAGGTCCACTGAACTGTGGGAATATCTGTCACAGCTTAGAGAAACAATGCTGCGGGCAGTTCCAGAACGTCTGCAGTTTGTCAAAGAAAAATTGTAATCACATGATATTGATGATTCTTCATTGCAAAGTGTTTTTAATGGTTTTATTTGTTGCCTCCCAAGAAGGTCAACAAATGCCTGCAGAAGTTGGATGTGTCAGCCAAAAGGCGCAAATATCACAGCCATGCTGTAAACAGGCATAACATCACTTCTGTTTCCTGAAATACAAAATTTTAGCAGTTTAATATTGTTTTTCTTTCCTTGCAGGGTTGCTATGAGAAGGGCAAACAGTTTGTGCTAGAACAGTCTGATATACTTGTAGCCATTGGATTTGTCTTTGCATTCCTGATGGTAAGTCGTGTGTATACTTTTTTAATTAAGTTTTTTAAATTCATAATTATCATTTTCCATAATAATAAGCATAGAGCAGTCGATAAAAGGCTCGCTTTCAAATCCAGCTGTGACTCGCTGCAGCCCACGGTCGGTGTTCGAAACCGGGCAGTTCCCGGGGTTCACCCAGCCTCTAGGAAATGGGTACCAGTGTTGACACTCTGGGGTAAATGGAGGAACGTTGCTGTAGCTACAGAGTTACGTGCAAACGGCGACACAGGCGGACAATTCTTATCAGCTGTCCATACTGGTGGCTGAGCACGTATGGTTTATAACCGTGTGCAATGATGCTGGTTCACATCTCCCGACTTTACCTTTACCTTACACAATCACAAGAATCATAAATCAGGTTATTGTTCTTGTCTTACTCCATCCTCGTGCCCAAGACATCCATGTATTTTTCTGTTTGCCTTCCCCTGCTTCTTCCCCCATCAATCTTGCCCATCATTAACGAGTTGTCCAGTCCATTCCTTTTAATGACAAAACCCATTGTCTGAGTCTCATTTGTCTCATCTGTTGACATTTGTCCTGAGGAAGACTTGCCTTGTTTGTTTTTATATCTATCTCTGTTTTTTAAATTTCTTCCTTCTTTTTTCATTTGCTTTAAATAGATTTTCTATATCTGCAGTGTTGTCTCTAGTATAAACTTCACTGTGTATTCCTTCCCAAAAACAACTACATCTCTGTTTTGAGTAAGTGTTGTTCAGCTTGTCTGCTTGTTGTCCATGTTTCACATGCATACAAGGTCTGACAGTTAAATAATGAGACTGATTTTTTTTAAATGGCCAAGACAAAGGTGCCATATATAAAGCAAAGCATGGAATCTAAAGAGACAGCATTCATCTATGATCTGGCAACGTTTCATCACCGCTCGATAAACAGACAACAAAAAAGTCGCCATTTTGTTGACCTAGTCAGAGATGCATTGTTACATAATCAGCAGGGGGCAAAAAGCTAACATTAAATTCTTGTTAAAACCCAGAAAAAGTGCCATTAAAACAGTTGAATTTATTCAATAAGTTTATGGGAATGATTGTTTTTCTCGTGCACAAATTTTCAGGTGGTGTACTTAATACTTCTTAATCCATTCCAGGATACAGTGCCACCTTGATATACGTACTTAATCTGTTCCAGTATACAGTGATACCTTGATATACCTACTTAATCTGTTCCAGGATACAGTGATACCTTGATATACCTACTTAATCTGTTCCAGGATACAGTGATACCTTGATATACCTACTTAATCTGTTCCAGGATACAGTGCCACCTTGATATACCTACTTAATCTGTTCCAGGATACAGTGATACCTTGATATACCTACTTAATCTGTTCCAGAATACAGTGATACCTTGATATACCTACTTAATCTGTTCCAGGATACAGTGCCACCTTGATATACCTACTTAATCTGTTCCAGGATACAGTGATACCTTGATATACCTACTTAATCTGTTCCAGGATACAGTGATACCTTGATATACGTACTTAATCTGTTCCAGGATACAGTGATACCTTGATATACCTACTTAATCTGTTCCAGGATACAGTGATACCTTGATATACCTACTTAATCTGTTCCAGGATACAGTGCTACCTAGATATTCAAACTCAATCCATTCCATGATACTGGTATCCATACAACATATCCTTGTGTTTAGATATGTGGTAGCCAGAGAGATCTCTTCTATTATGTCTGGTCTGCTACACATTTTGAATGTTTTAAAGCTTGAACAGTAGATCATCATCATCAGGTGCCTTGCATACTGGCGTGGGCGATTATGCCTCTCCATAATCTGCGATCTCCTGCAGCATGTATACTATTTTGTGTTGCCATGCAACAAGACTGTCAAGCATCTTCTCTAGTTGTCTTCCTCTATCCCTCCTTCCACAGATCTTTCCAGTGGTCACAACACGTTCTATTTTCCATCTTCTCATAACATGGCCTAAAAATGATGACTGTCTCCTTCTGATGTCTGTGATAAGTTGTCTTTGGGCCCTCGCCTCTTTCAAAACCTCTTGGTTGCTCTTTTTTTGGCTGTCCAAGATATTCTAAGCATTCTTCTGTAAAACCACATCTCTGAGGCCTCAAGAAACTGTTTGGCCTGCCTACTGATTGTCCAGGATTCACAGGAACAGTAGATAGGGAGTGTTAAAACTGTCAGTTGTTTCAGAGGGTAGTCATGTACCAATTTCATTTCTTTGAGTAAAGAAATAATTTTTACAGTGAAAATGTGTAGATTATCAGGTATGTTATAGTTTTTCTTTAGTTTCCATTACGGAATGTATAATCTTGTTCTTAGCTTTTTATCTTTTCCTTTGGACCCGTCTGTAGATTGAGAATGTATCCTTTATTCGACATTGTATGTATTCCTTAGCCATATCTTTTACCAACTCAGAGTATGAAACTTTACAGATAACACTAGCTAGATTATCGTCTGTCTCAGAGAGATTGAAGTGTCATGGAAGGAGCTTAGGGCTAATAAATTTTATTACTGTCCAGGTTGTTTAAGGGTGCAGAATTTCTCAGATCTGTTATGCATTTAGTAGTTGTCAGAGTAAATATTTATGGCCTCCCTTTGGATACCTCTGTGCTTCAGTTAATGATCTGTATGCTGAGTGTGTTTGGTCATTGATAGTTCTGATTAAGAAATGTATACTTGATTCCTTTCTTCTAAAGTGCAGAGGCATAATTCCCATTGCCACTTCTACAGCTTCTTTTGATGTAGTTCTTGGTGTTCCTGCTATGATGCATAGGCTTGATGCTGAATTTTATCCAATTTATGTTTATTACTTTTTTGCTGCAGAATCATACAGAATGCTACCATAGTCCATCCTTCCTCTAATATATGATTTGTAGAACACCTTAGTCCATCCTTCCTCTAATATATGATTTGTAGAACACCTTAGTCCATTCTTCCTCTAATATATGATTTGTAGAACACCTTAGTCCATTCTTCCTCTAATATATGATTTGTAGAACATCTTAGTCCGTTCTTCCTCTAATATATGATTTGTAGAACACCTTAGTCCGTTCTTCCTCTAATATATGATTTGTAGAACACCTTAGTCCATTCTTCCTTTAATATATGATTTGTAGAACATCTTAGTCCGTTCTTCCTCTAATATATGATTTGTAGAACACCTTAGACCATTCTTCCTCTAACATATGATTTGTAGAACACCTTAGTCCGTTCTTCCTCTAATATATGATTTGTAGAACACCTTAGTCCGTTCTTCCTCTAATATATGATTTGTAGAACACCTTAGTCCATTCTTCCTTTAATATATGATTTGTAGAACACCTTAGTCCATTCTTCCTCTAATATATGATTTGTAGAACACCTTAGTCCGTTCTTCCTCTAATATATGATTTGTAGAACACCTTAGTCCGTTCTTCCTCTAATATATGATTTGTAGAACACCTTAGTCCATTCTTCCTCTAATATATGATTTGTAGAACATCTTAGTCCGTTCTTCCTCTAATATATGATTTGTAGAACACCTTAGTCCGTTCTTCCTCTAATATATGATTTGTAGAACACCTTAGTCCATTCTTCCTCTAATATATGATTTGTAGAACACCTTAGTCCATTCTTCCTCTAATATATGATTTGTAGAACACCTTAGTCCATCCTTCCTCTAATATATGATTTGTAGAACATCTTAGTCCATTCTTCCTCTAATATATGATTTGTAGAACACCTTAGTCCATTCTTCCTCTAATATATGATTTGTAGAACACCTTAGTCCATTCTTCCTTTAATATATGATTTGTAGAACACCTTAGTCCATTCTTCCTCTAATATATGATTTGTAGAACATCTTAGTCCATTCTTCCTCTAATATATGATTTGTAGAACACCTTAGTCCATTCTTCCTCTAATATATGATTTGTAGAACATCTTAGTCCATTCTTCCTCTAATATATGATTTGTAGAACATCTTAGTCCATTCTTCCTCTAATATATGATTTGTAGAACACCTTAGTCCATCCTTCCTCTAATATATGATTTGTAGAACACCTTAGTCCATTCTTCCTCTAATATATGATTTGTAGAACACCTTAGTCCATCCTTCCTCTAATATATGATTTGTAGAACACCTTAGTCCATTCTTCCTCTAATATATGATTTGTAGAACACCTTAGTCCATTCTTCCTCTAATATATGATTTGTAGAACACCTTAGTCCATTCTTCCTCTAATATATGATTTGTAGAACACCTTAGTCCATTCTTCCTCTAATATATGATTTGTAGAACACCTTAGTCCATTCTTCCTCTAATATATGATTTGTAGAACACCTTAGTCCATTCTTCCTCTAATATATGATTTGTAGAACATCTTAGTCCATTCTTCCTCTAATATATGATTTGTAGAACACCTTAGTCCATTCTTCCTCTAATATATGATTTGTAGAACACCTTAGTCCATTCTTCCTCTAATATATGATTTGTAGAACATCTTAGTCCATTCTTCCTCTAATATATGATTTGTAGAACACCTTAGTCCATCCTTCCTCTAATATATGATTTGTAGAACACCTTAGTCCATTCTTCCTCTAATATATGATTTGTAGAACACCTTAGTCCGTTCTTCCTCTAATATATGATTTGTAGAACATAAGCATTAGTTTAGACCTAGCAACCTGTCCATTTCCTTTGAGAAATCCTAAATGTCTCAACAATAGAGCTATGCTGACTTGTTTCATTGTAACTGCATAGAAATAGACGAGCACTGCAGTTTACACATGGGAAGAAGCTCCAATAGAGGCTCAGATTTTATGCATTACTGAGGGGTAGATTTAATAACATAATTGAGGCACATATTTCATTATATAGCTGAGGTATAGATTTCATGACATAGTTTAAGTATAGATTTTAATGAAATTGGAGCAAATATTTAATGACGTAATTGAGGCACATATTTCATGATATAATTAAGGTATAGATTTCATGACACGATTAAGGTATAGATTTCACGATGAAATTGGGGCAAATATTTAATGGCGTAATTGAGGCACATATTTCATGATGTAATTAAGGTATAGATTTCATGACATGATTAAGGTAAAGATTTAACGATGAAATTGGGGCAAATATTTAATGACATAATTGAGGCACATATTTCATGACATAATTAACTCTTTAAGGCCCATGAATTTTGACAGACTTGGCCCAAATTAATTTCTCTTTACAAAAATGGCAGAGGGGTGGGTGCACAAGAAAGGCTGTAGAGATTGTAATATACTTCTAATCCCTATAAAAGTACATATTTTTTAAAAGAGAAATGAATGTACATTTTGAATCCGATGATAAGTGTTTGTTTAATTTTGTTATAGTTAGTGTGAAAGAAGAATTCAGCAGGTGTTAATTTCACAAGGACAGCATTTAACAAAAAAAATTCTTCACTTACCATGGTTTTGCAGCCACAAGAGTAGTAAATATCCAAATTTGAGAACAAAACTTCAAAGTTTGTTCAATTTCCTAACATATTCCAAAGTTATAATAACTTTCTGGGTAAGTTTAGCACTCAGGAGCTCTCAGTTCTCACAGAGTGCTGAGCAAAATTTCAGAGAAAAAATGGCAGAAAAATAAGCCATTACACACACTATTTACTTTTTACTTTGTACAGTTATTTACAGACTGTAGCCGCGATGATTTTAGTGTAGCTTAGCCATAGTATAGTACTGTCTCTTTGTTTAGAGCACTTTCCTTCTCTTACATCATAAATACGGTAGTATGTAACATTGTCTGTGTAATAAGCACATCAGAATCGCTAGATTCTGAACAGCTGATCACTCAGCATCACTGGTGAAAATTCACCGTCCGAATCACTTTCCGAAAAATCTAAATGTTTATTATCATTATTACAATTAGGAACATCTGACTGAAACAATTTCAGAGCTTCATCAGCAGAAAGACGCATTCTGCGACCTGTACTTGTAGTTGGAACATTGGTATTCATGGCACTCAAGAACAAACTTAGAAAATGAACTGCTAAAAAAAAATTTCGCTGTGTTTTCTCTTAAATTATCCACGTGTGGTTTAGTCCAGGAAATAAAACTAAAAGGATTTCGGCAGAGTGACTTTCCCTGAATAGTTAAATCGTACCTCCAAACATTAGAAACTAGTACGAAGCCGCGTGCGAAGCAAAAAATAAGGGACTCATGAGTGACGATGACACTGTTGTTTGGGCAAAACGGAACCCTTTCAAACAACGCTCACACCGTCGTGTGGGACTCAAAGAGTTAAAGCATAGACTTCATGATATGATTATAGAATAGATTTCTTGATATTGTTAACTTATAGATTGTATGACATAATTAACGTATAGATTTCATGACATGATTAAGTATAGATTTCAGGAGACACATATTTCATGGCATAATAAAAGCATAAATTTCATATCATAATTAAGGCATTGATTTCATGATATAATTCGAGCATAGATTTTGTGACATAATTAAGGCACATATTTCATGACCTAATTGGCGATCTCTTTGTTATATTTGACAGGTTGCAGGGATGGTGTTGACATTCTTTGTAATACGATCAGCGACAGATGATGGTTCAAAACACAGACGTAGACCAAACAGTGTAGTTGTTTAACTGTAGTTTGTTTCCGTTATTTACTATCAACGAAGAAATGTCTATAGTTATTTATAGAAACTGTTTGTTGTTTGATGCCATGAATTATTTTACAGTATTCTAGAAATTCTCCACTTTGCATATGTCAGTGTAAAGCAGGATCTATACCTTTGCTGGGATGTCATTTGACTGTCAAGGGGAGATAACAATACACATGTCAGTGTGAAGCAGGATCTATACCTTTGCTGGGATGTCATTTGACTGTCAAGGGGAGATAACAATACACATGTCAGTGTGAAGCAGGACCTATACCTTCACTGGTATGTCATTTGACTGTCAAGGGGAGACAACAATACACATGTCAGTGTGAAGCAGGACCTATACCTTCACTTTTATGTCATTTGACTGTCAAGGGGAGACAACAGTGACATGTTGGTGTGAAGCAGGACCTATACCTTCACTGGTATGTCATTTGACTGTCAAGGGGAGACAACAGTGACATGTCGGTGTGAAGCAGGACCTATACCTTCACTGGTATGTCATTTGACTGTCAAGGGGAGACAACAGTGACATGTCGGTGTGAAGCAGGACCTATACCTTCACTGGTATGTCATTTGACTGTCAAGGGGAGACAACAGTGACATGTCGGTGTGAAGCAGGACCTATACCTTCACTGGTATGTCATTTGACTGTCAAGGGGAGACAACAGTGACATGTCGGTGTGAAGCAGGACCTATACCTTCACTGGTATGTCATTTGACTGTCAAGGGGAGACAACAGTGACATGTCGGTGTGAAGCAGGACCTATACCTTTGCTGGGATGTCATTTGACTGTCAAGGGGAGATAACAATGCACATGTCAGTGTGAAGCAGGACCTATACCTTCACTGGTATGTCATTTGACTGTCAAGGGGAGACAACAGTGACATGTCGGTGTGAAGCAGGACCTATACCTTCACTGGTATGTCATTTGACTGTCAAGGGGAGATAACAATACACATTTCAGTGTGAAGCAGGATCTATACCTCCACTGGGATGTCATTTGACTGTCAAGGGGAGATAACAATACACATGTCAGTGTGAAGCAGGACCTATACCTCCACTGGGATGTCATTTGACTGTCAAGGGGAGACAACAATACAGATGTCGGTGTGAAGCAGGACCTATACCTTTGCTGGTATGTCATTTGACTGTCTAGGAGAGACAACAGTGACATGCCGGTGTGAAGCAGGACCTATACCTCCACTGGGATGTCATTTGACTGTCTAGGGGAGACAACAATACACATGTCGGTGTGAAGCAGGAACTATACCTCCACTGGGATGTCATTTGACTGTCAAGGGGAGAGAACAGTGACATGTCGGTGTGAAGCAGGACCTATACCTCCACTGGGATGTCATTTGACTGTCTAGGGAAGACAACAATACACATGTCGGTGTGAAGCAGGAACTATACCTCCACTGGGATGTCATTTGACTGTCAAGGGGAGACAACAATACACATGTTAGTGTGAAGCAGGACCTATACCTTTGCTGGTATGTCATTTGACTGTCAAGGGGAGACAACAATACACATGCTAGTGTGAAGCAGGACCTATACCTCCACTGGGATGTCATTTGACTGTCAAGGGGAGACAACAATACACATGTTAGTGTGAAGCAGGACCTATACCTCCACTGGGATGTTATTTGACTGTCTAGAGGAGACAACAATACACATGTCAGTTGAAGGATAACTTATGAAATACAAATACAATACTGAGACTACAACCTGAAGGGTAACTGTAAGAGAAAGCAACTATGCTGAATGCCTCAAGCATAACAATATTTCACATTTACTGGAGTGTGAGAAATATGAACTTTTAAAAACATTCCAACGTCAATACTTCACCTACTGCATGCAGTTAAAAAGGCCAGTTGCCTGTCTTTTATAGGAGGTTGCAGAACCAACCCCAGCATTTTGCGGCTGTTGTGGTTTTTCTAGGTAGATTTTACGTTCAGTAGTTTGCCATCGCCTCTGAACGGTCAGCTCACGGTACCACTGTCGAAACCAACAGTCCTCAGCTGGGATCGAACCAGGCACCTGGCATTACAAAGTGCGTTCGCAACGCCTTAGCCACAGACGCCGGCACCGCATACAGTAAACTTATGAAAATAAACAGTTTGGTAGAGATGGGAAACCACAGAGAACTCATATGAAAATTAGACAGTACATGAACTAAAATGTATTAACAAAATGAACAATTTTTATTAAACAATACAAGAATTAAAATTCATGCATTTTGATAACCATAGAGATCTCTAAAAAAATTTTGTAGAGATGGATAACCATAGAGAACTCTAATAAAATTTGGTAGAGATGGATAACCATAGAGAACTCTAATAATATTTGGTAGAGATGGATAACCATAGAGAACTCTAATAAAATTTGGTAGAGATGGATAACCATAGAGATCTCTAAAAAATTTGGTAGAGATGGATAACCATAGAGAACTCTAATAAAATTTGGTAGAGATGGATAACCATAGAGAACTCTAATAATATTTGGTAGAGATGGATAACCATAGAGAACTCTAATAAAATTTGGTAGAGATGGATAACCATAGAGATCTCTAAAAAATTTGGTAGAGATGGATAACCATAGAGAACTCTAATAAAATTTGGTAGAGATGGATAACCATAGAGAACTCTAATAAAAATTAAACAATACAAGAATTAAAATTCATGCATTTTGATTGTAAACTGCGAAGCAAAGAAAAAACAATTCAAGACATTTACTGAAAAGCTGTAAATAATAGGAATGATGAATAGCACAACAAAGATATATAAATATATTAAAAGTTTTTAAATTAAATTAATTTTTTTTTTAAATTACCTGTTTGTATAAACTCTACGATATGAAAAAGCAAAAGTGAGGAAAACAAACATTCACTAGTGAAATAACATTGAATACTATAGATCTCATTTATAACACACAGGGTTAACACTGTTGACAATCATAATTTTACTCCAGTTGTAGGTGGTCAATGATGCTTCATTATTCATTCCCTCATCATCTCCACGATAAAGCCATTTTCTAGCTTTTATGCATTCTGAAATGATGTCTTTAGACAGTGCTGAGTACACCTGTCTGAGAGCTTTGATACTAGCTGCATGATGTGTAGACATGGTGGGTCTTATTATATTTACATCAACAACACACACACAAAAAAAACTTGAAATATTATTTGGGACAAGAATAAAAATGAATTTTTGGTGTATCATTCATTCACTATCATCATTTACCTGTTATTGCATAACATCACCTGGGGTTTGCAGTCTATTCTTCAATTCCATTTCATCCTGTGTAATCAGTTAAATATCATGGATGGAATCTAGTCCAGCAGCTTTGGCCTCTCTTATCAACATTTGTTTTAGGGTTTCCTTTGAGCATCCTCACGTTTTCAGTATTTTCCATTTTAGTTAAGATTCTCTATTTGCTTTTCTCACAATCTGACCAGTGTAGTGTTATCTTCTTTGTCTGATAGCTGTTGCTACCTGTGGTTGCCTGGACATTTCATCTACTTTGTCACCCCCATTTGAATTCTTCTAATGCATGCACTTAAGTTTCATTCTGTCTTTAGTTGTCTCTAACTTTTGCATGTGTATGTTATAACTGAAATTACACAGAAAGTGAAAGTATGTAGCTTGGTTTTAAAACTATACAATTTAGAGTTCAGTATTTTGTCTAGGTTTTAAAATCTGTTGATGCCTTGCCATTGCTTGTCATAATTTAATTCATTGTAATTCTTGACTATCAAAATTACCACCTAAAAGAGTAAATTGAACTAATACTTTAATTCCTGCCTAGTATTACTTACATCTGCTTGATCTGTTGTTGGTTTCTTCAGTAAAATTGTCATTTCATAAATTATCTGTAGTCCAATCTTTTTCTTTGCATGACATCGCTGTTTTTACTGAGCAGAACATCATCATCAGCAAAATCAAGATCTTCCAACTGTTTGTTCTCCACCCAGTCAATGCCGATGTTTCCAACACATAATTTTTTTTCATCATTCAGTCAATGGTTATGTTAAATAACCGATGAAATGAAATGCATCCATGTTTCACTTCAATGTCGGCTGCAAATCGATCACTTAAACTACCATCTATTCACATGCACACTCTAAACCTTGACAGACTGCTTTCATATTTATTTGTTTCATTGTTACACCATAGTATTCCAAAATTCCTCATTTTCTGTGCAAGCTAACAGAAGTCTTCTTAAAATCAATTAAATTCAGAATTGTGTGTATGTGTGTAAACAAATTGTGTTCTTCCAGGTTGAAAGCCTGTTTGTTCCTCTCTCAGGATTTTGTCCACCACCCATTTAATTCTATTGAGAATTATTATACAAAAAGTCTTTGGCCTTACCGATAGCAGAGTAATTCCTTTCCAGTTGTTACAGTCATTAAGGTTACCTTTCTTTAGAATTCTAATAATTATTCCTTTCTTCCACTGATCTGGGATTTTTTCCTCAGCCTATATTCTGTTAAACAAATTCTTTCACTGGGTTTATGGTCTCTTGTCTCTGCACAGTATCATCATCATCATTTCCTGTCTCTGCACAGTAACATTTCTATCTCTGCACAGTATCATCATCATCATCTCCTGTCTATGCACAGTAACACCTTCTATCTTTGCACAGTATCATCTCTTGTCTCTGCACAGTATTATCATCTCCTGTCTCTGCACAGTATCATCTCCTGTCTCTGCTCAGTATCATCATCATCTCCTGTCTCTGCTCAGTATCATCATCATCTCCTGCCTCTGCACAGTATCATCCTCATCTCCTGTCTTTGCACAGTATTATCATCATCTCCTGTCTCTGCACAGTATCTACATCATCTCCTGTCTCTGCACAGTATCATCATCATCAGCTGCTGCCTTATTGCACGCTAGGAATTGACCGTCTCCCTGATCTCCACGTCATTTATCTGTCCTACATTTATTGGTAATATGGTCTTTTTAGCCTCTTCATCA